CGCAGGAGCCACAATCCCGACCCGAAACCGCAATCCCGGGAGAGCCAGAGCCCGAGCGAAAGCCAGAGAGAGCCAGAGAGGAAGAGCCCCTCACTAATATACGGGACATGACGTGATATGATACAGAATATTCCATTGGCAGAGCCAAATGCTAATTTAGCTAATTAATTTAAATATTCCTCACCCCCTTAAATCTTGCGCTTGCAGACGGACAAACACAAAGTCCTTCAGTGCCAGGGACACAAATGCAACATGGGGATGTTCTCAGGGTCTCTCTCATAACAAGTCCCAGGCTGAAAAGCAAAACCCAGCACTATTCTAACTACTGAAAAAGAAACCAGCTCTGTTCCAGCTAAAACCCAGGACATGCTGTCACTCCTCCTTCAGCTGGGGAAGAATTGCCTGTGTATTGTGCACGAGTTAATAGCACAGAGCGCTGCCCCTTCTGCGTGTCGGCAGCACTTCTGTCGGCTTAGTTGGTCACTGTCTGTGTGTTGATGCAGGAGCTGTGTCAGTCCAGCCTGAGCTTTGTTAAGTCCAAGCTCCACTCATCTGAAGCTGCTCAGACTCATAAATGGACACAATGCTTCTGTGTATTGGAAGTTAAGACAGAGATAGTTGGGGGTTGGACTAGGTGACCTTTAACGGTCCCTTGCAGCCCAAACAATTCCGTGATTCTGTGCTAATCCTATTCTGTTTCTACCATTAATTTGCAACGGAATTTGGCTTCTCTTCATGTCAATTATTGTTTACCACATTTCTGGAGTTCTGTGCAAACAGAATTTCCCCTTTTTCCTGGGAATGAACTATCAAAAAGTTGAAACTCCCTTATCCCAACAAGCTTTTTTGCTGTTCCTTTCTCACTGAAATAGATAAATAAGGAAGGTTCCTTGCTCACCCCAGTCAGCACAGAAGCTTTTCCTGTGTTCTGAGAGGGCCAAACTCATTTGTTTCACATGCCTTTAATGAGGTTATTCCCTGTTCTTGATCAAGAATTGAGGTAATTATTAATGTTGCATGGGAAGAGAGATACTAGTAACTCTAGTATCATGGGAAGTAACTAGTACTAGTTACTAGAACTAGTAACATGGGAAGAGAGATACTAGGTAATGAAGCCTTAGCACAGAGTTCATCTCTGGACTGTCCACACTGTGCTCAGTAAATCAAAATATGGAATTTGCCTTGTTTTCCAGATAGACCAGTTCTTCAGCCCCAAAGGGATACAACCATAAGCTTTGTCTTTGAAGCAGGAAATATTTCTCGTTTTCATTCACTCCTTACCTCAGAGCAGGTCGGGTGTATCATTTCCCAGTCTGTGACTGCTCGAGGAGGAACAGTGACAGACCACTTGAGGTGGGAGACTAAAACCGCTCGATGGGAGGGAAGGGTTTCATACCCACCCACTGAACGTTCTTCATCGAAAGCAGCAGTTTGATTTCCCTTTTCCACACTGTTCTGCCATTGTGGGTTTTTTTCAAGATTTAGCAGGTGTGCATCCTCTTTAAACAGAGCAAGATACCCAAATCCAAACGTGGGTTACTGGCTCAGAAGCAAAACGGCTTTCCAAAAATCTTTGTGAGTGGAAAGCCGTTATCTTTATGATTTGTGATCAAGCCAAAGGAGATCGTGTCTCCAGAGCTCTCACTTGTTCCATATTCAACACACAGCCTGGAGGAAGATGCCAAGTTAATGGTGCCAGGAAGTGCCAGGAAGAACTTCACCAGTTTGAGTTAAAGGAACATTGTTGGCTTAAGATTTCAATTTGAATGATTTTTAGAGTTAGTTTCCTGCTGCAGCACCTCATAAAAAGTAGACCTTAAAAAGATGTAGGGGTGTGTGATCCTTGCTGTTAGAGATGTGTGGGGTTTTTTTTCTCCATCTCTTCATTCTAAAGGGTGGTTTCTACTCATCTTTGCTAACTGACTGTGTCAGATGATTTCTAGTTCTGTAGCTCCTGTAACCTGGTTGCTGCAACATCCGGACATTTGATTTCCAAATGAGGAATGTGTGATTGCTCCCTCTCTCAGGCTGGCATCGTGGCTTTTGGTACCAGTGCTTGTAGCAGTCACATTGTGATCACAAAATACCTGCTCTGGAAAAGATATTGCACCTTCTCTTTTGAGATCCTAACCCATTCCCTTATTAATGAAATCAGGTCAGCTTACAAGCCAAGGCACTCATTTCCCATGCAGATCTCTAAGGTTGTCCACCCACGTGGGAAACAAGGTCAGGCCAGTGCTGGAGGAGAAGGCTGAGAGCTCGCAGATGCCAGCGCTTCAGGAGTGCTGAATGGGAAGCAGACGTTTCATCTTAAAAGGCAGACCCTGCGTTCAACACAAGCCACTTCTGTAACATCACGTTTGTGGTGCTCCCTTAATTCATTTAAGAGGAATTAAAGTACTTGGAGGAGTATTTTGTACAATAAACTGTAAATAAAAAGCCTTTAATGGCTTAAATAAATCCCTGTGGCGGGGATGTTTAATGTTGGAGCAGATGATCTGGATCAAACTCATACTCTCAAAGGAGTGATTTGTCATTGCTCAGATCCTCTAGTAGATCTCTTCCCACAAGACGTGGAAAACAATGAACTGTTCTGAAAAGAACCTGAATCGTGCTTCTTAACTGAGATACACTCCTCGCTTTCTCCAGCCTCATTTATTCTCCAAGATCTTTTCTCTCACTGATCCTCCCCTCATTTTGTTTTATAAGCCCATCAAACTCAGCGGATATTTTGCCACCTGCAAAATAGGTGGCAAGTCTTGTATGTCAGGAACTGTTTCCATTCTGGTTATTAATAAGCCTTTGTCTTAGTCTCTGACTGGTCTTTGTAGGGAGAAACTGACCAGGTTCATAACAGAGGTTCTGTTGAGAAAACCAGTTGTAGGGGAGGAAGGAAGGAGTCTCAGCACAGCAACGCACCAGCAGTTACGGGAACCTGATTGTAGGGACCTGGCCTGTGAGTTGGATCCTCCTTTCGTTCTTCCCACGTGTTATTTTTAATATCAAACCAGTAAAATGAACACACCTTCACTTCTCCTGGGAGAAGTACGTTTATGGTTGGAAACAAAAGGAGTAATTTCCAACATAATATGTGATCTTATCTTTAGTCTGAAATTCAACCTGTAAACTCACTATTGTAAATATTTTACTTCCAGGGAACTTTTTCTCCTATACGCTTACTATGATAAAAGCTGAGAGATACAAACAAAGACCGTAGCACGTAGAAATGTTTTCAGAGGTGGTGCACACTGAGCTGTTTCACAACTGTGCTCTTTTTGCTTCATCACACTTTTCTGTCAATCAAATATTTGAGAATGAACATTCAGGAAAAGAAACTGGGTCTGTAATACTGCTCAGTTGCCAAAATGCCTGTTTCCATTTCAGAAGAGGAAGCCTGTCCCCCGTGGATATAAAGCAACCAGTTGAACTTGGAAATGTTTTCACGTGTTACAGAAACAAATTTTGCCTTTTCTTCAGCTGTTGCTACGGTTGCAGTTTGAGTTTTAACCTCTTTTGCTAACATACCTTCGTAAGAGAAACGCAGACAGACACTGAGATAGGGGTTGCCTTTGTGCTCTTCAAGGAGAAAGGTTGATGTGCTGCTTTCCCTTATCAAACCATCTCTTAACTTGAAAAACTTCAGCGTGTGTCTGCTCATATCAAACCTTAAGCTTTGGCATCATTTTACAGACAAAAATGCAGTTAAGTGACTCAGAAATCACTGCATGCCAGTCTGTCTGGGTGTAGACTTAGTTTCTAGGACTGGATAGGTGGTGTCTTCTCAGATTAAATTGGTGTCAGCATCTCTCCAGAAAGTGGAGGTTGCAGACTGCAGATGTCTCCTCGTTAGGGGCGGTTTGGCACTGGAAACGTGTTCCAGCAGCGCTTCCTAATCTGCACAGGCAGTCGACAAATTGTCAGAAGGATTTGAAATACTAATCTCAATCTAGGAGACAGGAAATTTTTATTTATTTTTTAGAAATCTTGTCACTTTGAGAAATTTTCTGTCTCCACCATGAAAAGCTTTGGTGGTTATAACATACAGAAGATGTCAACCCAGAGCTCCATGTTCTCCATTTCTGTGCAGTTCTCCATGAAGTGTCTTGTACAGGGTTGTTTTCTTCCAAAACCTTCAGGTGTTCACATTAAAGGTGCACTGTGAAAGTTACTGCTCTTTGAGGAGATAAGGGAACGGCACTAGGAGTATAAAGCAGAAATTGATGAATATTGGAGATGATACAAAAAAAGATAAATTCTAGTGGAAGGTGTCCCTGCTGCTGGCAGGGGGGGTGGAACTGGATGATCTTTAAGGTCCCTCCCAACCCAAACCATTCGATGATTCTATGAAATTCCACAAAACCTACACGTGCAGCCCCTCCATACAGACACACATGTGCATACACATACTAAACACACACACAGGCATTATTAACCATTTTCATGTACATATTTACATCCAGTGCTTTTAATTATATATCTCCTTGGTAAAATCCTTCAAATAGGATTGTCGTAAAGGCTGGGCAATTTCTGTGTTACTCTTGCTGAACCTGATGACATCCCTTTAGGGAAGTACTGAGTGATTTTAAGAATGAAATTAATTCTTTAGCATCCTTAACAGCAGGTAAAGTTATCGAAGCGTATTTTCTAATTTAGTTTGTAACATGCACTTCCTACGCTGCTTTTTCTGGCAAAGGATTTCTAAGTATGAAGCAGAAATGGCAGAGCCATAACTCTGTGTTTTTAAATCCACCTTTCGTGTTCTTCCCTTTCTTCTCCTTCCAGCTCCAGAAAGAGTCCGTGCAACAGCTCGGAGCCAAATGACACAAAGAGGCCAGCAGACCTGATCGGTCAGGAAGTGATTCTGGTTTCCTTCCTGCTGCTCCTCCTGGTCTGGTTTCTGAATCGAGAGTTTGAGGTCAGTTACCGTCTCCACTACCATGGAGATGTGGAGGCTGATCTTCATCGCACCAAAATTCAGAGCATGAGGGATCAAGCTGACTGGTTGCTGAGGAATATTATTCCGTACCACGTGGCTGAGCAGCTGAAGGTTTCCCAGAGCTATTCCAAAAACCACGACAGCGGCGGAGTCATCTTCGCAAGTATCGTGAACTTCAGCGAGTTCTACGAAGAGAACTACGAAGGAGGCAAAGAGTGCTACAGAGTCCTGAACGAATTGATTGGGGATTTTGATGAGCTGCTGAGCAAATCACACTACAGCAGCATTGAGAAAATCAAAACAATTGGGGCAACCTACATGGCCGCTTCAGGACTGAACACCTCGCAGTGTCAGGACAACAACCATCCCCACGGGCATTTGCAGACCCTTTTTGAATTTGCCAAAGAAATGATGCGAGTGGTGGATGACTTCAACAACAACATGCTGTGGTTTAATTTTAAACTTAGGATTGGCTTTAACCACGGCCCCCTCACTGCTGGGGTCATTGGCACCACCAAGTTGTTGTATGACATTTGGGGTGACACTGTGAACATTGCTAGCAGAATGGACACCACTGGCGTCGAGTGTCGTATACAGGTGAGTGAGGAGAGCTACCGCATCCTAAACAAGATGGGGTATGACTTTGACTATAGGGGGACAGTCAATGTGAAGGGGAAAGGTCAGATGAAGACCTACCTTTACCCAAAATGCATGGACAATGGGATCGTGCCACATCACCAGTTGTCTATATCTCCAGACATTCGGGTTCAAGTGGATGGCAGCATTGGGCGATCTCCGACGGATGAGATTGCCAACCTGGTGCCTTCTGTACAGAATTCTGAGAAGATAGCCCATGGCACAGATAACTCAGAAACCAAGGACATCCTTCCTTCCGCCAAGAAGCTCCAGAAAGATGCGGCGAGAACAGAGGAGAGGTGTGGGTTTGGCAAAGCCACCGAGAAGACTGACTGTGAGGAAGCGGGACCTGAGGAGGTCAATGAACTGACAAAGCTAAATATCTCTAAGAGTGTATGATGCACTGTCAGAGTTGCATGAAGTGCTCTGTCCATAGAAACACAAAGACATTTGCAATTGGCAGTTTTCTTTTTCAAGAGAGACCTTCTCAACACCTGGGTTGTACGTTTGTTTTCATTTCAGCGCCTGGTGCTGTGTGGATCACAGCTCTTCAGGGCTTCTTTTCATCCATCTCTCTCCTCCATGCCCCAAATCACATCCCGAGCTCCCCAGCTCTCTGTGCAACCATCTTACAGCTGAGTAGAGGATATTAAGTGCCTTCAGATATACTCCATTGGACTCCCTGTCAAGGTACAGAGGCCCCAAGTGAAATCATAGCTTTGGGTATTTATCTAATTTAAAAAAAAGAGGAAAAGAAAAGCTGTGGTTATATATCATTTCTATTGTTGTTTCTCACAAAACACTTTTTTTGGCTAACGCAACTCCTTGGGTTTTTTATATCTCTCTGAACAATGTTTTACTGTTATCAGACCTTTTGTATGTAAACACACAGAGAAATGTGCGTGTATCTACCACATGAGACTGACATAAAGTGCCAGTAACGTACCACAGAAGAATGTCTTGGCGAGGGGGTGACGCAGTTTGACTTTGCGTTGGGCTGGAGGAGGAGTTCTGCAGTGGCTCAACATTTTAGGTAGAGTAGGCTGAACAACTGCTGTAGTTTTATTCTCCTTTACCAATGCTTTCTTCAACCTTAACGTGCCATCGCGTGCTTTGGATACACTTCTTTTTCCATATAGCCAATGAGTTACTGAGATGTGGGAATGGAATAAGGGTTGGGACATCACTGGCTCTCAGGACAGGTTTCCAGAAGCAGACGAGTGACCACGGGATTATTAAAGTTCAGGTCTTACGAGTCTGAAGCAGTTGCGTGTTACTCCGTACGCTAGCTGAGTTTGTGAAGGTAGGTGAAGTTGGTATCTCTAAGCTGGTCTGATTTGAGAGAGAGAGAGAGAGAGAGAGAAACTAAATAAATGTTTGGGGAACGCCTTTATTTATTTATTTATTTTATTCCTGGTGTTTTTTCTTTTGTTTGGGGGGTTTTTGTGTGCGCGTGCAGAAAGGATCAGGAGACATGAATTGTTAATTGGTTTAATAAGAGTGATAAGATTGTGTTTCAGCCTCTGTGAACTACCAACCACTGTGAGGATGTTACTTAGGCAATATTTGTTTCAAAGCTGATGAAACTTCCGAAGCCACCAAACGCAGTTGAGTGTCCCAGCTTCCCTCTGCACTGAGTCAATGGTGCTGCACAATATTTGTCAGGATTTTTTTCCCCCACCCTACACTGTCCTTTTGCAGCAGGGAATAGAACAGCATTGCTCCCTGCCTGCCACTGAAAGCAGGAACAGGGAAAAGAGTCCTTTCTAGTGAGCTGAGAAGCACAATCATGTCCCAGTCCTGCAGATGACTCTGTGCAGGTCCCTGGGATCCTACTTGCACGGAGGGAACTGTGGGATGGGGGCCTTTGGCTACACTCGTTTGCCCTCTGCATGGTCCCATCACCTCCTCCACTTACATTTGATGCCCCGCTTTGGATAATATTAATTATTCAGCTATTCCAGTTCAGCTGAGTCCTTGCAACACCAAATAAAATGAAAGGATTTTTATGCCCAAAATAAGTTGGTTAGCCAGGAAGGAGCTGGTGGGATGCAGTGCTGTGCTGTCTGCACATGGGTGTGGGGTTTAATTCTTAAACTCAGAATTTACTGATACTTCTTTTTATTCCCTATGTGATTTTCGGAGTTGGAGTAATAAATATATATGTTGTGAAGTTCCTTTTCAGCTATTTGAGGTCCATCTACCCTCCAGAGTCAGCACGGAGCTCTTGAAGCCTTTGTCAAATGCAAATCTGTGAGATTTCTGGATCTGGGTTAGTTAAACACGACTCTGCACGCTGTTCTCACGAAAGCTGCTGGTGATGCACGTCTAAATTGCGTTTGATAGGAAAGTTATTTAAAATTAACCTTACTTGCTTGATCTGCCAGCACAGGTAAAAACCAGGGGATCCTCATCCCTGTACCCTTCTGTCACAGGTGCTGTAGCCTGTTTGGGAGCTATTCCCGACGAGCAACACTACCAGGTTTTTATCAGTGCACAGTTTTACAGCAGCCTTCCCTCTCCATGGATTAAAACGAGCCCTGTTCCGCCCCCCTCCCCGCAGTGGGTTGCACTTCCAACTTTCAGGTAGTATAATTCTGCAAATACCTCTGGCATCTGAAGAATGTATTCTTGAAACCATTTTTAGGGTTCTCCTTTCAGTTAAGCGTGTGTCAGTAATTCCTTTTCTTACAGCAGAGGAGTTAACGTGGTCCAGAATTGTTTACATGCCCTCTAGTGTTCTGTAAGTCGTTCCAACCTTTCTCCCTTTCCCTTCTTTCTCCTGGTTTTCTAGACGACTCTACCCAGCATTTCTCTTTCACTGATCAGCCGTCTGCAGTGGCAGAGTTCACTTGAGATGCTCTGGCTTCTCCCTTGCATGAGATGCTGCACAATAACTAAACCTCCACCAGCATCAGCCCTGTGTCTGGTGAGAGCTTTGCCCCCTGTGATTAAACCTGGCAGGAGGAGGGGCTGGAGTAGAGCCCCACACCCAGAGCACCTTCCTTCTCCTTGTGGAAGCAATGCCCTGCGGAATACAAAAGCCTCATCCTCTAGCCTATGAAGTAAATAACGCTCCCGTGCTGTCGTGGTGTGGTGCTGTGGAGTATTGGCGGGTTTCTGATAATATTAGAATACCAAAAAAACCCACCAAAACCAACCAGCCAGGGCCTCTTGTTTTGTTGGTGTTAAGCAAATAAAATGACAGAGGACAGAAGTGTGAGTGGACTCTGAAATCAAGGGCTGTTGTCTGCTCTGGGAACAGCCGGTGATGTTCCTCTGCCTGAACTCTGAAGCTGGGAAAAGAGTCGTGAGAAGTCACCAAACTGGGGGTGCCCCTGGTTGTTTGTTGCCCCCGGGACAGCAGTGAGCACTGACAACTGAGCCTGCAGGTTTTGGGGAGGTTTTACATCTCCTCTTTAATGCAGTGTAGGAAGGAAATCAAGAAGCAAAGCTCTCCACCTGTGGTTTGGACAGTGAGGTTTTCCCAGGCACAAGGAGCAAAGCAATGTCTATTTTCTGTTGTTAACCAGTGGGAGCTGAACCTTTACACCTCCCTGTACCCCTCTGAAAAGCTGTCCCAGTACTCACAAAAATGACTCTGGAGGTGTTTTTCACGGCATTGTGCAGCTCTGCATTCCTCTCTGCAGCCGTGACGCGTGTGCACTTGTGGGAGGTGGTGATCAAAGTTCATTTCATTACAGTCACTTTTGTGCTTGTTGTGTTGGTGCCAGCGCGGTCCCAAGGCGCTGTCAGAGTTGGGGAGTTGGCAGGTACCTGGTGGTGTCTCCTGCAAGAAGAGTCAGGGCGTTGCTGTGCTTAAGGTGTTTTAATGGTGAGAATTTAGAAATCCTCCAGAGGAGTGGGCTCGGGAAGGTTGCTGAGTGTCTGTGAGCCCCGTGTTGCCTTCTGCCACTGCTCACTTGTGGGAGCTGCTCTGGAGCGCAGAGTGACAAGGAATACGTTGAATATTTGCTGCAGCATCGTCTTAATCTGCTGCTGACACAAAAATGCTTATTTTTCTCCCAGCTACTTCAATGAGGCAGATTTCTCATTCATAAAAAAGTAAACGGCATTCCCATGGATTTACTGCTGGCATTTATTGTTCTGAGAAGAGCAGATTTGCCTGTTCTTCCCCAGGATTTAGGGCTGTTTCCTTTTGCTGGAGGTAACGCGAGCGCTGCGAGCAGGACAGGACGGTGCCGCTGCCTGGCTGCAGCTCCTGCAGTGTCCTAATGCAAAGTGCAGGAGGATTTTGACAGGACAAATGAGGGGGTGAGAGGATGGACTGCTCAAGGGCTTTAAAAAAAAAAAAGGTTTTGGATACTCTTATTTCAGGGCTAAAACACAGAAAGGAGGTGCCCAGAGCAAAAATGAAAGGAGCTATAAGCCAAGTGCTGTACCCATAGCAGCTTGTAACTAAAGAGGAGTTTATTCTTGGTGAAAGAGACAAGCTTTTAGGGTATCTGGCATTTTAAAATTGCTAACAAACGTGTTTCTAAAATTTTCATTCTGAATACAACAAAAAGAAACGTTTCAAGGGAGCAGTTACTCACTTTGTGTCTTCATTTTGTAACAACTCCAGAGGCTGAGAGCGCCTGAGGTTAGATATAATGTGATCAGCTATTTAACTGCGCAGCTTGGAGTTGTTTGTTTTGGGGGGTTTTTTTGCCAAATTTAAAAACTACGTCTGTTTTCTCCTTTCTTCCCCGCTGTGGTTCTTGTTTACTTGGTCTAGATGGGACGTGTGAGTGGTTCTTGCCTCCCTGCTCCTCACCTTTGTTAAACTGCACCTTCCACATTGCACAGCAGCGTTTGAACTCTGCCACTGCCTGGTCGTGGCTTCTGATGCTGCTTTCAGTGCTGTTTGCCTCTCTCTCTATTTCCTGATACAAAGGCGAAGAGTTTACATTTGCTTTGATATTTTGGTCCATTTGTCCGGTCACGCTGCAGCTTTCTCCTTGTGCTGTTGTTAAGCTGCTTGGCAGGAGATGCAGATGAGCAGCAGGCACATGCCAGTAGTTAAATTTAAGAACTCTCTAGAAAAAAATACATTTTCCATCACACCAAAAGTGGTAAAAAAGTTCTATTACCCTGAGTTTTAACAAGCGTGCAGAGCAGGAGAGGGTAAGAAGTGAAATCCAGCGTGTGCTGCCAGTGTTGGGGTTTGCTGAAGCAGCGTTCCTTTCAGTCCTGTTCCAGTTAAATGTTACAAAACTGCTAAAAATGGGTAATGATTTATCGATGTGACTTTCCCCATTGCTGAAAGTGTCACAGGGGTGGTTTGACTGTAAGTACAGAATGATTTTCATGTGGAAAAAGAAGCAGTCGAGCCTGAGGGATCCCCAGTGCTGTGGTGTTTCCATCTCCGTGCGCTGCAGCTGTGAAGACCCAGCTGGGGTCTGGGAGTGATCCTGGGCCGTGGCTTACCTGGGTGGGGAGCATCAGTTTGGGCA